TTGCTGTGGGTGTTGTGAGACTGTGGCAGATTTCCCAGAGAGGTTGTAGATGCCCCATCCCTGGAAGTGTTCAAGATCAGGTTGGACGGGGCTCTGAGCAACCTGATCTAGTTGAAGATGTCCCTGCTCATTGCAGGGGGGTTGTACTAGATGACCTTTAAAAGTCCCTTCCAACCCAAACCATTCTATGATTGTATGATTCTATATGTGCAATAGTTCATTTCTACAGGGATAGAAATATATAATTTTCAGAAATAAAATGAAATTGGTAAAATGCTGTGAACTCCTTTATAAGAAACAGAACTGAGAATGTGAAAACAATTCCCATGCTGTGTGTATTACAATGCTCTCATTTTTTTTATTTTTCAGCAATGGATACCTTCAGTGAATGAGGCTAGAATACGTTAATTACAGTGTGTACTCAGATCCTTGTGCCATTTCTGTCAATAGGACATTAGCAAAAATGTAAACTGGAGAGCTGCATGTTTTTTTCCTAATGATTCCTATTCAATCAAACATTCATCTCCTATAGAAGTTTTCAGGATCAATAAGCAACGTCTTCCTGCCCGAGGGGGTAAAATGAGACCTATCTTTCACTGCTCCGGTTCTCTTCATGGACTAATTATGTCCACAGAGTACGGAAAACCAGATTTTGGAAAACGTACCAGTGTAGCCGGCTTTGGGGCAGCCCCATTCCCGGGGATAGGCACGGCGGGCCGCGGGCCCGCCCGTCGTCGTCCGGCCCCTCCATCCGCCGGGGCGGTGGTAGGCCCCTGCCGTGCCTCCCGGCGCATTAAGGCAGTCGGCGGGGCTTAGCTGGGAAAGTTTGGCTATGAAGCAGCTGGTGTAGACGGGGATGTAGAAAGCGCAGAGTCTGGCGGAGCTGGTCCGCATCTTGCATTGGATATTCGCTGAAGACAAAGTCAGTGTGGAGGAAGTGCAAGCGCTCATGGAGCCGTACGAGAACAACACCGAGGAGTGGCTGCAGTACGCCAAATTTGACCAGTACAGGTATAACCCTCACGGGGCTCCGCCGTGCGCGCCGTGCCTCTCACCACGCAAACGGGGTAGGCTAAGGGGCTGCCGGAGCAGAACCACGGGGGGAAGCCGTCCGGCCGTGGCAGCCCCGCTCTCCCGTCGAGGCTTGGACCGAGCTCCCCCGGCAGGAGCCTCGCGGCGTAGGGGCGTGGCAGGGAGAGGGCGGGGCGGCGGCCAGTGGCAGTGCTCGCGGGCATAGCCGGGCGGGTGTCTGTGCCCCAGCTGCGCTGCAGGATCCGGGCCCGGCGGCGGCTTCACCTGGACTCCCGTCCTGCGGCTGGGGGAGCCGGCCCCCGCCTCGGTTTGGTGCCGCTCCAATCCGCGGGGCTTCAGAGTTTTTCCTGGGATCAGTGATAACCCGCAGAGTAGACAGAAACGTGCTAAAGCAATAAAAATTAAAAAAAACCTCTCAAAAAACCCAAGAAAAATAAACTCGCAGAAGAGAGTATGTGCTTCTCTATGGCCACAGAATTGCCTGCAGTGTCTCAGTGGTACCTCTCTGGCAGCAGCAATCATCTCGTGGCAGAGCTGGCAGTGCAGGATGAGGCCGGGGCCTGCGACCTTGATCCACTGCCTGCCCTGCACCGCGCAGGGAACCTGGGGGAAACGGCACCCCCTGGCGCAGGCTTGGCACTTCCTGTAGTGTACTGGTTTTGGCTGGGATGGAGTTAATTTTCTTCATAGCAGCCCATATGGTGCTGTGTTTTGAATTTGTGACCAAAACTCTGTTGACAATACACCAACGATTTAGCTATTACTGAACAGTGCTGTCTGTTTTTCACTCTGCCCCCCAGCGAGTAGACTGGGGGTGGGCAAGAGGCTGGGAGGGGACACAGCTAGGACAGCTGACCTGAATTGGTCTGCTTGTGGGAGGTGTGGTGAGTAATTGCCTTTGTATCACTTGTATTATTTTTTTCCTCTCTTTCCTTCACTTATTAAACTGTCTTTATCTCAATCCTCAAACTTTTTTGGTTTTGCTCTTCCAATTCTCTCCCTCATCCTGCTGTGGTGGGGAGTAAGTGAGCAGCTGGTGGATGTTTAGTTGCTGGCTGGGGTCAACCCACCACGCTTAAGTATTTCTCAGCGTGCTTTTGCATGAATTGAACTTTTCTTTTTAACCTCTCTATCATGAAAGCATCATTCATGCTGTTGGTTCTGAACTGGAGGAACACACCAAAATGAGTTTTGGGCTTTGGTAGATGTTTGATTCCTATAAAGTAACTTGTGTGTGTACACCATGCTGTTCTGGCTGGTTGTGAGCAGTGTGTTGTCTCTCCTTTGCTCGAGTCCCTTCCTCTGTTGGGCTAGTGCAGGCTGAGGCTTCTTGTTGCTTCTCAGTAGAAAAGAAAAGATCCATTAAGGTTTTAAGTTGTTCCTACTTTGCTAACAGCTAGTTAATTCCTGCTATTGGTGGCTTCCCCATTGTAAATTTAAGTATAAAGACAATGTATTTCAGCACTTCCTTAAAAAAAAACCAAAACAAACCACCTTTTTAATTTCTCTATCATGAAAGCATCATTCTGGCTTGACTTTTTAAAAATCTCCTTTCTTACATTGACTCTTCTCCATTCGGAACAAATCACAAAATTGTAACAGAACACAGGAAACTAAGAATTAGAAAAACAAAGTGTGGCAACATTAGAAGTATTCATGACAGCCTTTCTTTTGGCCAGCCAGACCTGCTCTACAGAAATAACAGCACCTGAAAAGTTCAGTCAAATGCCAACATTGATTGCTTATGTTTTGACATCATAGGAAAAATATGTCTACCTAATACATATACAGATTGTAGATGGAGTAAGAGGCAGCATATAGATATAAATGTAACACTTTGAAAGTAATTTATGAGTGTCCTATGTTGATTAAAATGAGATTAAATGTTCTTATGAGGAAACTAATTTAAAAAAAGTCCAGTTGACATCAGCATACCTTCTGTGTGCCCTTGCTTGCAACCTTTAGGTGAGAGTGAGGCTTCTTGTCATAGGCATAAACTTTTGCTTTACTTGGCATTCCTTATGAGTGTCCTATGTTGATTAAAATGAGATTAAATGTTCTTATGAGGAAACTAATTTAAAAAAAGTCCAGTTGACATCAGCATACCTTCTGTGTGCCCTTGCTTGCAACCTTTAGGTGAGAGTGAGGCTTCTTGTCATAGGCATAAACTTTTGCTTTACTTGGCCTTCCTGTGAATAGCCCATGACTAAAGCTAAAAAGGAATCGAAAAGTCCCAGTTGGTTACTTGCACCATAACAGCTAGAAGCACCAGCCCTGGATCAGAAGAGCCTCACTATGGAAAGTAATGTATAAAGCAAAAACCCAGTCCTTTCTACAGGGAGCTTCTCAATAGAATGACACAAGTGACAATTTGGGACAGGCTTGTGGGGGAGTACAAACAAACAAACTTCAAATGTTGTGATACAGGGTGTTTTCAAGCCCTGAGAGCAAATCAGTCTAGAATACACATATGGATAAAACCCCTTTAGAAACAAGCTTATTCTGTGCTACCTTTAAGTTAGTACAAGAAAAAATCTTCTAAACAAATTCTACTATGTTAAACTTTGTTTAGAAGTGGATGCTGGCAATAATTACACCACAGGTATTTTATCCATGCAAGAATGCTGTAGTACAAGATGTAGCATTTTCAAGAAAAATGTAAGAGTAACCATGCATGGTAAGCCTGACATCTTAGTTTTCTTTTTCTGCCTAATACAACGGAGGGCTGTCCAACAGAAAGGAAAGCCAAGAATATATAAAAAGGAGCTGTAGAAGAATGTAACCATGTATCTTTTTTTTTTTTCATTGCAGTCTTCTGTTTCTAATTATAAGCCAGCTGCTGAAATGACTTCATTCAATAACTATTTTGATTTGATCCTGTCTTCCACTCTAGTCTCAGACTCACAGTTCTCAAACTCCAATCATCTATGTAATTGAAAAGCTATATGACTATCAAATATTAATTGTGTCCATTTTTTCTTCACAGAAAAAGTACATTTACAAAAACAGCTTAAAAATTAAATTTCAATTTTTTCCAAGTAAAACTTGGTTTTTAAGACAAAGATTTTTATATGTTGCAAGCTTCCTTCATAACCATGTTTGTATACTTTTGTCTTTCATAGGCATAGCAGTACTGAGTATTCTTAAAAAGCAAACACTTTGTATTTCAGGTATACAAGAAATCTTGTGGACAGTGGAAATGGAAAGTTCAACTTGATGATCTTATGCTGGGGTGAAGGGCATGGCAGGTTTGTATAAAAATAATCAGCCCTACATGAGCTATTAGAAAATGAGGAAACTAAGCAGTATAGAACTCCCTAGTTATTCCTGTGGTATAGCAGTCCTGAATACTTGCTATAGTATTTTTTTGCAAGTTTGTACCTCATAGACTCTTCTAGAGCATTTAAAAAAAATGCTCTGGTCTTCTACCAAATCTAAGTTTCCCTTCTGTCAGTTTTCAATCCCAGAGTAGGCCCTATGGGCATTGAATAGACCCTGTTTGTTCTGAGAGATGTGCCTCACTTTGTTGCAGAAGCAAACTTGGTACAGTTTAAATAGTCTTTATTATCTCATGTTGTTTAAATCCAGTCTCTGTGACAAGATGAGAAAAGTGGGTTTTGGTTAGAACTGTGGGGTGTGATTGGGGAGCCCCTTTTTAGTGGCATTTGGCTTTCTTTAGGTTCAGACATTCTACCTTCTCCCTCGAAACAGGCCACAATGCTCCTGTGGCCTCTTGAATTGTATACGCAGACCCTACACTGGATTTCGTGGTCCTGTAAAAGTGAGGGCAGGATCTGTCCCTTGGAGGGTCTTTGATGAAATGTTGGCTAAAACAAAATATGGAATAACAGAACTTGTAGGTTTTGAATGATTATCCTTGCACATAAATAGAAAATGCAAAGAGTTGTTTTTTTGCTTGGTGGTTTTTTAATTGAGCATGCATATTGAACGTTTACAGTATTCTCTCAAGGATGCTGTGAAGCTATACCCAGAGAGATGTAAGAACCAAGCCCACCATGTCTACTTGTGGGCTTTTTCTGCAAAGACTGTAATTTATGTCAAACTGTTTGAGTTGGATGGGCATTTACTAGGAACTAGACTGAGATCACAACTTGTTTTTGCTTCTTATGAGGATCAAGTTGTTCTTATGGCTTGTGGAAGGAGCATGACAACATGGCATTTGAACTGTTCTATGCCTGAAGCAAGCTCTGCTTTCTTGGCATCTCAGTTTGTAGGAAACTAACATTTGTTTGTTGAAAAAAAAGTAATGTACAAGTACCAAGTTTTTGATTGAAACTCATTAGCACTATACTTCAGGGAGGGCCAAATTTCCCCCCACCCACAATGAGTGGAGAGCTTTCCATTTGTCCTTATCCCACTGATTTTTGTAACAGTTAGGCCTCTATTAAAAAAAAAAACAAACCAAACCCAAACACGCAAACCAAAACTAAATTGCATGTCTAGCCCATATGTCTCTAAGGTAGCAATTAAAACATACTTCTGAGCAAGCAGACAGATCAAGCAAGCAGACAGCTCCTGCTGTTGTTCATGTTTTGCCAAACGAATGAAATTAACAGCTTACTGTTGTTAGTTGTACTTAGTACTATCAGAGTGAGAAGTACAGCATTTTCTTTCTTCAGCAAACTCCTATGCATCCCAGCAGTAAAAAGGCCATGGAAATGAAGCCGAAGTAGCTCATTTCTACCATGTTTAGGGAGGGAACATGGTGGGATCTGCAAATATATTAGGTATATTTGCAAGTCTATACTGGCCTCTGCCTAGGGTCACTGTGAAAAGTATCTATTTGTCCACAACAGTTTTGTGTTCTGAAGAGTTTTTTCTGTTCTCCTTCCTCTGGTTTTCCATTGTATTTGTCTCTGGCAACATCAAGCTGACAGATAACTGACTTTTTTTTTAGTCCTGCTGTATGTAAGCTTATCCCATACATTTCTAATGCAGCAGTTTTAAGTAGACATACCTTAGCTACTGTGAATGTTTGTTTCCAAGATGTCTGTGCATGACAAATGTGCGATAGCATTTCATTCTAGGGCTATTTCCAGATACAATATGCTGTGCCATCTGTCCTGTTTGCTGTATTTAAATTAAATATGTATATCAAACTGAGTTTGGTTATTCTTTTTACTTATATAGCAGCATCCACGATCACAGTGACTCGCACTGCTTTATGAAGATCCTCCAGGGAAATCTAAAGGAGACTCTGTTTGAATGGCCTGAGAAAAAAGGGAATGGTGAAACGACTAAGAAATTGGAATGAGTTTTGAGGGAAAATCAGTGCACCTATATTAATGGTAAGCTCTTCTAATACCTTGTTTGATAGCTACCCATCCATGAGTCTGACTTCTAATAGAAGAGTTCATGTACTCTCTAAGTAGGCTCTTACCTTTAACACTATTGTACTTCAACAATTGTGTGTGAAGCCATTAGAACTTGGCTCTTTAGATTCTGTACAAATCTGTATTTAGATTCAGTAAAACAAAACACTTCCTTTTAACTCACTCTTAAGACATTAAAACAATTGCTTGGTACTTAAAAATGCTAGCCAGCTCCTCTACACCAAGCAGCCTTCAGCACTGTAACTATCTGAAATTGCTTGTTTTGCACCAGGAGGTGCTGGTTGATTATGATCCCAGTAAGAAAGGCACTCGGACTCTGAGATATCATTTAAAATGCTATTTATTAGAGCTAACACTCTAAAGAAAGAGAATAGTAAAGATAAGATTAAGTCCCTTGAGGTGCTGTGATTCCTGAGTGGTTTAGCATCAAACAGCCCTCCAATCCATGCGCAGCATACCATGCAGACCCCATTCATAGAAAAGATTCCTCTGTTTTGGTCATTTGAGCTATCATAGGATTGGTGGGGGTGAACTCTGGAACTCCCTCAGTTCAAGGGGGTCACATCCACAGCATCATATTGGGTTATGGATTAGGCCAGGGTGAGGGGCATGGAGGAAACTTTAGTAGTACTCTACAGCCCTTTGAAGGTATGACACATTAAGTGAAAGTACAAAATTCATAGGACAGGAAATGCAAGAAAGAGCTTGACGTGTCTGCTGATGGAAGGGACATTCCCTCACCTGGGACATGCATTCTCAGGCTTGTTTAGGTTTTCCTCCCTATGAGGTTCTTTCTAATGCAAACAATTACATTCTGTGTATATCTGATCCAAAGCTTTCTTGGTTGTTTAAAACAAATTTGGTATCTAAAACTCTGGGACAGTTTGAATCTCTGCCATGTTTCATACTGGATAAACAGATAAAATAAGTCGAAGGAAAACACTAATAATGTGTTATTTGATTGCCTTACTACTTTAATAATGACCTTTGTGTTTCTATTGTGTGCTGCTTGGTTGCTGTTGTACTTTTAAGGTTAAAACCTACTAAATTTAGTCTATTTGAATCTCCCATTACACAAGCGTACATTTAGGACTTTTCCCCCCACATCCTTTATTTAGATAAACTATGTTAATGACACTTAGGGCTTTCACTTCAAATGTATCAGAGTTAAGAGTGTACTTATGATTCTCAGAGTACCATGCCTACATTGCACAATACAGGTCTTGAATATTATATAACACTAATTCAAGTACATAGGCCTGAGTTGTTTTTACAGCAGAAATCATAAACTTCAATTCAAGGTCTGTCTTGAGTAACTCAAACTCTGCTTCAGTATAGAATGGAAATGGATGTTTTTGTGGATTTGATTCTTCATATCTTATATTTTTATGTACTACCTTGATTTCTACTCCATCATCCCAGAAAATGCCATTAATTCATTAGTAGCCACACAAGACAGTACCTTGTTTTATTACCTGTTCAACTATGCTTACTATTCATTTAAGATTGGAAGTATGACAGTCATTAGTAATTTGTCATATTAGTCAAAAGACCACACAAATGAAAAGACTGTCCTACCTCAAAGTAATAAATTGGAAAGATTAATGAAGCAATGGATGTCTACAGTAGAAGACAACTATATCTCCACTCAAGCCCCAAATACAAGTAGCTAACTCTTAATGTGATTGACCTCAGCCCAATAAGGATAATTAACAATACAAATTCTTTCCCTGTAAAATGCTTTGCTGATTTTTAGAAACACAAATCTTCCTGCTTCTAGAACAACAGCATCTCCTAGGAAAGTAGCCTTTCACTCATTTGGGAATGACAGCTAGTAAATTACTGATAGCATGGCTTTCCTTAAGCTGCTTTGGATTTCTATTGGCCTTTATCCCATAGTAGATAATCTATTGACTTACACAAAGTGTTGAAGGTGATAAGGTATTCTGAAGTGCCAGTGTATTTAGGAATCTGTGCTAGAGAAGAGCAGTCAAATTCCCTGTGCTGAGTTATACATTGCCCCTAAAGGGGCAGGTGTGCCTAACTGGCTTGTTTGTGAGTCTCAGCTTAGATGGCACTTTTCCAGGCATTTGAGAAGTCATTAAATCTGTCTATTAATACAACCTTTTGTTTCATGTCCTCACTTGTGTAGACTCCATTGGCCTGCACCGTGTGGAGAACATAAGCCACATGGAGTCTGCTGTTAGCCTGCATTTGTACAGCCCATCCTTTGACAGCTGTAACACCTTTGATCAAAGGACTGGATACAAGCACAAAGTTAAGATGACATTCTATAGCCAGTTTGGAGAAGGGACTCTATGTGTAAGTATGAGATAACACATTCCCTGCCAGGCCTTTGACACCAAGCCTTGTGTAGGGACAGGACAGAGGGATTGCACTTGTCTGTGCAAATCACAGCATAACCAGCCGGTCAAAAGAGGTGATTATCCCGCTGTATGCAGTGTTGGTGCGGCCTCACCTTGAGTATTGTGTGCAGTTCTGGGCCCCACAATTTAAAAAGGATGTGAAGGTCCTTGAATGCGTCCAGAGGAGGGCAACAAAGCTGGTGAAAGGGCTGGAAGGCATGAGAAGCATCTGAGGACACTGGGTTTGTCTAGTTTGGAGAAAAGGAGGCTGGGGGGCACTCTCATTGCTCTCTACAGCTTCCTGAGGAGGGGAAGTGGAGAGGGAGGTGCTGATCTCTTCTCCCTGGTATCCAGTGACAGGACGCCTGGGAATGGTTCAAAGCTGCTCCAGGGGAGGTTCAGACTTGACATTAGGAAGCATTTCCTTACCGAGAGGGTGGTCAAACCCTGGAACAGGCTTCCTAGAGAGGTGGTCGATGCCTCATGCTTGCCAGTGTTTAAGAGGCATTTGGACAATGCCCTTAACATGCTGTAACTTCTGGTCAGCCCTGAAGTGGTCAGGCAGTTGGACTAGATGATCGTTGTAGGTCCCTTCCAACTGGAATTATTCTATTCTATTCTAAGAGTATTAGAATGTTAAACCCAAAATAAGTTCAATAATCTTTTAGAGAGTCATATGAAGAGTTTTTGCTTCCTACTGGACAATCTATCTAAACAGGTGGAGACTCAGTTTTAGATAGTATTCAGCATAGTTCTTCCTTGACAACATATCTTTGTCTCTTTTTCTCTCTTATGACAGAATATTTGCAGGAGGAATTCTGAGTTCCAGCCTATCTCAATCATACATGCATAGCTAGATAATTTTGTGTATGTGTGTGTGTGTTTTTTACCTTATGTAGAAAGTTAGATAGTTCTCAGTCAAAAGCTAGAAAAAAACAAAGATTCATTTTACTGTTAGATTAGTTTGACATCGAGTTTGTAAATATATGGTGTCACTTTCTGTCTGTGAAAGATTAAAAATCTGTCAAACAGCAAACATTTCTTGCATGGGCTAATGAACCATGGCGATACATGTAACAGGAATGCACGTGGAAGCAGGCACAAAAAGACTGAAGAAAGCTGCAAAGTAAAGGAAAATCAGGTGTATGTATTTCTTCTTTGCATATAGCTGAGACAAGTTTCTCTTGAGGTAGTTAGCAGAGACAATTTTTTTACCATTATTAGAGGCTGTAGATATGGATGTAATTACAGGCAGATAAAAATGAGATCTTATGATTGGAATAACATTTCCTTTTGTTTGAGTAGTAAAACAGAAAAAGCTGTTTCAACATGCAGTCCTCCCTACTAATGATTTTGATAGGTGTTTTCTTAAAATTCCTTAGTCTGTGTGGTCATCATACCTTTCTAGAAATCTAATTGCATATTACAGTTAAAAATTCCACTTCACCATCACAGAATCATTTAGGTTGGAAAAGACCCAATCATCGAGTCCAACCGTAAACCTAACGCTGCCAAGTCCACCACTAAACCATGTCCCTAAGTGACATGTCTACACATCTTTTCATCATTTAATTTTCACTTAAAGTACATTCCACAGCGTGCTTTATCAAAAAGCATGTTATCTTGCTGCTCAGACTCATCTAACATAGTATAGCTTCAACATTTTAATTACCTCAGCTTTAAAAATCTTTACTTGGGGCTTTGATAGATTTTTACATAGAAACCAGCTCTTGATATCCAGCTAATATCAATTCTTATTTACTTACCAGTACAATGGTCAATTTTTTATAGATAAAAAATGACTGAAATAAGCAGTTCAGGTGATAATACAAAGTCATCTTCATTTTCACTGTCCTTCATACTTGAAGAACTGGCCCTGAACAACTTTGGCACCTGTAAAACACTCAAAGGGCAATAAAGTATACTTACTACTGACACAGTTTCAGCATTATGTGATTTGTGCTAAGTCATGCTGTGGAGGAAAAAAATCACCAGACCTTAAAAGCACTTGAATGTATCCTTTCTTTTAAAGTTCATTGCATTTTCTAACCTCTGTTGTCATGTTTTCAAAACTGCAATGAACAAGAAAAGAAATTAGTTTGTTTGTTTCTAAAAAGTCAGCGCGCTACTGTCTATGCTCATAATAGTTGAATAAATAAAAACCAAAACACATCCAAACAAAACACCACAAGAAAACAATGCAACATTTAAATAAATGTTTGGGATAAACCCCAAATTTAGCTTCACCCAAAATTAAGCATTTACTTTATTTCCACGTGTACAGCCTCACAGAGGAAGAGGTGCAGAGCTGCTGCAGTACAAGGAGTAGATCCTTAATAGGAATCAGAAGAAAAGAGATTATGGGGAAAATTCTGGTCTCCGTTACCTTCTCAAATATGCCATGTACACTGTTGCTGAATCACAAGTCTGTCTTATTGACAACAAGAATTTGTGAGTCTGTACTCATAAAAGCATAGTATTTTGATTTTCAACATTTATTTTTTAAAATATATTTGCAAGTAAGTTCAAATTAATTAGAATGTGGGGTTTTTAATGTCATTTTCCATGTGTTTTTCCTTTTTTTAAGGCAAATTAGTGAAATAAACATGATTTGAAAAGTTACAAAACATGTTTACATTACATAAATATGCTTCTACACTGCCACAACAAAGCTCAAGATATCCCCAGAGCAGTGAACCATTGCAGGGTTCAATTTTTTCACAATTTCTGCCGAATTTGCATGTTCACAATTTCAGACACAATGTCCTTTCTTTAGCTGCCTTCCATTGTTTCTGTAATACACAAGAGGGAGCTATTGTTTGCAGCAGCTTTCCAGTGCTCAGTTTTTGTTGAAAGTATACTCTGTGCTTAAGCTTTCCTTAGTATCAAATTTGCTCTTTCAATTGACTGATAAACGTATGTCGCAAAGTTAAAAAAACACTGACAGTCTTGGTCATACATAATGTAGGCATAGATCTAAGAAATGTGTTACAACACCAGTGTGAAATGCCTCAGACTTAAACACTGGTCAGGCTTCCAGTTGGTCAGTGAAATCCATGTATCACTTTAGGTACCAGGACTCCCTGTTAGGGATCTCCAAGAGTGAGATTCACAAAAACAGCAGCATTCTGAGCAGAGAGCTGCAAAAGCTACTCAATAGGAAATGAAGAAAAAGATCATCCAGGACAAACATGGCTTGCTCTTGGCAACAGAAAGGAATTAATCTCCAGTTAACATTCACAACTCTCAGTCCTCTCCAGGGGGTAGGTACATACACCAGCCTTTTTTCACAGTGTGTAGTGCTAGGATGAGGTGGTGGTGACTGTCCCCGCTAATTCAATGTCTTCAGGATTGGAAGGCTCAGGTAAGAAAGGCACATTCAAGTCTCTTCTCTGACTGAGGCTAGACTTCAATTGATTTTGTGAAAGGGAGAGACCTGGGGAAGGTCTAAAAAAAAAAACCTCAGAAAAAGACAGAGAATGAAAACTTGACTGCGGTGAAGTAGATACGAATAGTAAAGGATAAACTGACCAGATTTTATGTAAAGAATCTAAAGCTTAGGTATACTTTCTGCATTACTGTGGTGGGTTGACTCCCCTCTCCTGGGGGATGGGGAGAAAAAATAGAAGGAAAGTGAAAAGACTCGTGGATCAAGATAATGACAACTTAATAAGAAAAGCAAAAGCTGCGCACAGAAACAAAGCAAAAAGAGGTATTCATTCCCTACTTCCCATCGGCAGGCAGATGTCTAGCCACTTCCTGGGAAGCAGGGCCTCAGCACACGTAATGGTTGCTTGGGAAGACAAACACCATAACCACGAATGTCCCCCCTTCCTCCTCCTTTCCCCTGGTTTTTATTCCTGAGTGCGATGTCATAGGGTATGGAATATCCCTTTGGTCAGTTGGAGCCAGCTGTCCTGGCTGTGTCCCCTCCCAACCTCTTGCCCAACCCCAGCCTACTGACTTTTTGGGGGGGAAGAGAGAAAACCTTGATGCTGTGCAAGCACTGCTCAGCAATAGCCAAAACACTTGTGTGTTATTAACACTGCTTTAGCCACAAATGCAAAGCACAGCACCATACAGGCTGCTATGAAGAAAGTTAACTTCATAACTTCATCCCAGCCAGACCCAGTACAAGTGCTCTTCTCAATGAATTGCATTTCGGTTTGTTTTGATCTGTTTTTTCCCCCAGTCAGGGCCTAATTCTGGCAATGCCATTACATTTACCTAATGAAAGACAGACATGTTCTTTAATATGTGCAGTTTTATCTGCTGAAATTTAAAATACTTAGGACATGATATAAAACTCTTTAAAAAAACTAGTCTGCTCTTTGCAACTATATATAGTTGGTCTAATAAAATATATCATTTTCTCTACAAAAATTGTTTCGATTAAAGCATTTTAAGCAATATTGTGGCTATGTAATGGACAGGTTTTAAAAGACCAGCACCTTTATACAAAAATTATTATATATTTTTTTTTCATTTCTGTCAGATACATTTAAGTCAAATGTAACATTTCCTGCCTAAATTGTTCTACCAAAAAGCATCACATTTCAAGTCACACTTCAACCTTGCAACTTACTGGAAGTAAAGCAAGATAAGTACTCAGACTTTTTGAAATCAAAACTTTGAAACATAAACACTTGCTTTGAGAGAGAGCAGGCAGATTGGCTGTTGTCTGCATTCTTGAGCAACGACAAAAAATTGTATTTGGATAGAAAAGAAATCTTAAACCCAGCTTTGGGGACCAAGCTAGGACATCTGGCAGGGCTTGATAGGGTTCCCCTTTAGCACTCTTCCATGTGTTGGGAAACATAACCACTTACAAGGGGAGAAAAGACAGATTTTTGTTGGTCAGTCATAGAGGTTCAAAGACTGTTTTGCTTTCCTTAGATACAGAACACTCTCACTTTTAACTGAGGTCAGAAACTCAGTGCTCAGGACTTCTAAGGAGTAATGAAAATTATTTCTTTGAAGTGTGTCGCGTTAAATGATTACACCTTTACCAAACAGCTGAAATAAAGTTTAACCTTCACAAGTTTGAAAGGTCTTTGAGAAAGTAAACTTGCATTCATAATTACATTTTTAAAGGGAAAATGAATATGGAAAAATGTTGAACAAAATTCACATGAGAATTCAATATTTGCTTGTTTCCTTTTCATTTTAATGTTTATTGACTATTACGTGTGTAAGATAACAAGTGAAACTAGATATTTTGACTTGGACTATTTTCCTCCTCTTGATTGGTAATCAACTGGCAATGTTTGTACCTTTTGTGGGAAATTGGATCTGGCTTACAGAAGAGAGTTAAATGTTAATCATTGGGTCTCTTTCATGAATTCCTGTAAATGGAATTCCAGTAAGGGGAAAAGCGGTAGCTAGTCTGGGCCATCCAACTGTCTGACATGACTTCATGCTACAAAAATGTTATGGTTTCAATGAGTGTTTCTGGAAAGCTCACTGGAAATTCAAGCTTTCTTCTGCTTACCAGATCTCAAAAGGACCTAGGAAGTCAGAGAACTGTAAGTTAAAATACAAAGATATTAGTGTAAAGTATACTTGTATATCTTTCATTAGTAAGAAGATGATCTACCTAACTAAAGCTCATTCAGTGCTTTCCATTTGTCTTCATTTTTTCTGCAAATAAAACACTCGGGTAAATCCCTAGTGGCTTCTGGCTATACTGGAGTCTTAATTAACTAATTCTGCAGTAAATATATAAACAAGTTATAAAGGCTTAATAATTAAAACAGTATGTAGCTTACCTACCAAGGACTTGCCCAGGAAAGTGATTGTTTACACAGTTTAAGTATGAACTATAAGAATACAGATATGAAAGTTCACTGAGAAAAAAAAAAACCTGTTTTTTGTCTTCTGTCACAGTACATCAGAAGTTCTTGCTATCAGGAATTTTACTAGGGTAGGTGATTTCTCTTTGCAACCTGTCTTTCAAAGTGGAGTTCCAGTTTCTGTCAGAATGAAGTACAGCAGGCTATCTCTGAGAGAAAAGATAGCATAAAGGAGAAAGTACTCCTCAGTTGTCTTTCTGCCATGTACTTGCCCATGGTCACACAGAGAAATATTCAGAGCTTGGGTGACAGGTGATGACAACTTCTAACTAACAGACAGGAGGAATTGTCTACCATTGTCACTAAGAAAATAGGAGAGAAATGCACTTAGAACAGCTACACAAAATGCTTCACAAACATGTTAGAGTGATATGAGCGTGTCAGAAATCTTAATCCTAAAAAGTTCCTCAATTTGTAGACTTGCACAAAGACATTATGGACACAGTCTTCTGGAAGTGGAAAGGAGAGGAGAAGTGGAAAAGGATCAGGAAAACCCACAAAATTATTTGGACTCTTGCATGTCCACAAAAAGATGAGTAACATGCCGACTAGTTTAGAGCACAGAGCAATCTTGGATTTCATATGATGAAATTGTGGTTGTGCCAGAAGATAAGCCATAGAATCATGTGTTCCCTTTTGAGAAAGAAAAGGGACAAGGCAAAATATGATGACAAGGACTTCTGCAGCAAGTTTATATGTGCACACCGTTTTTTAAAAATTTTTTTTCACCCACCTGTGTAGAAAGAGAATAAGGATTAATAGGAAAGAGGTACAAGAATACAATTTCTCTTTGATTTGTTACATAACTAGTCCACATAAAGAAACTAGGAATGATTTTATGTGCCTCTAAATCTAAAGCCTAATCTGATGGAAGTCTCAGAGAATATGCTAGTATGAGACTGATAATGAAGATTGTTTGCCCAGAACACATTCCTTCAGAAAATCATTCTCTTTACTACAAATTGGCTCAGACAACAAATCTTCAAAAAAGAACTGTACCACAAAAGCACAGAGCTTTCTCAGTGCAGATTGCTCATGACTTCGGGCTGGAAGCCTCGTGTCAAAACAGAACAAAAGCCTGTCTGCTTAAGAGGAGTTTCTTTCCAATAATCTCTGTTCCACAACGACAAAGTTCTGCCAGCCACATGAGGCACAGGAAGAGGAAGAAGAGAGCTCAAGAGGCAATTTGGCCTTGTACCTATTCCAGCTTCAGTCATTCTTTTTGAACAAAATTCAGCTGTCATCCATGTGGAACACAAACACCTGGGAGGAAGTACAGAAACACCAGGTATTAGAGGTAGTATTGCAACCAGTGACTGCTGCGTTCTTTGTCAAGTCCTGCTGTTTTGCTAGATGAAAACAGTAATGCAAATCCTATCATAAAAAATAATGTATTAGGATGAATGAGGATATCCAGCAGGTGACTGAGACACAAGTTTTCTTTGAAACAAAGAAACAACAGGGTCAATACCATATTTTTATGAATTTGTTGTTGTTGCATTGCTTCACTGTCTCTCAGGCACAAGGAAATAAAACATTGAATGGACAATAAAACCTGTTCACTTTCTTCCCCTTAAGGTTACTGTTCCAGATCCATAGTTTTTGTTTCAATATCCCATCATTTCTCTAGTAATCATCTCATCTGCCCCTTGAAAAGGTATCTTCCCAGTACTTCCTTCTATAAGCCACCTAAACTTCAATTGCTTATCTTTTGTCTTTGTAAGGAATACCGTAAGATCCATGGGACCTAACACAATGATGTAAAATGGGTAGATATCAGTAGGTTAATAGATAACCCAGGGACTATACCAGTACTGACTATGAAACCAAAGACATCTCCATGGTTATGTTTTGAATTACATGTTGAATTCTTTGATGGTGGCTGGTACTTAATCACAGACTCGAGAATCAGAGAGTCTGTTTCAGGCACGGTCAGTAACTTCAGCCTCTCTGGTTAGTAAAGGAAGCAAAACGACCACGGACTAATTGTGCAGTCCTCCAAGGTTAGTTCTGACCCGTGTAGCTTATATGAATCTTTATTCAGTAATTAGATCTCAACTCTTTGACTCTTGTGGGTACTTTATATAGTATTTCTTCAGGGATGGATGAGCACTGAAGCAGGGATAGCCAAACTCTTCTAAGCTACGGTATCCTCTATAAAACATGGGTAATATCTTCTTATCTTGGAAGGAGTACTGAGAAGAAATACATTAAGTATTCTAAGGTGCTGAGCTACTCTAGTAATAAGGCCCACGTTAAGAACATGAAGTAGATGGTCACAGTCTCTCCCCTTCAAAAAGAAATCTCTTCTCTTTTTAGGCAACAGCAGTGCCACAAGAGAACAACTGAGAAGCACCAGCATGTGTTTGCTTAAGACCTACTGAATGTTTAACCAGGGACAGAAGACTTATATAGCTAAGGCCAACAACCAGCTATATATTTCTATACCTTGTATGTGGAACTAGAGTAGGACAGCTTCCAGGCAACCTGCAGTTATCATGAATGAATGCTGATTATGGGACACTAAGCCAACTAGTGCCATAAACTACTTCAGAGGTTAGACACCTTTTCTTAGGCTACTGTCAAGTCAGAATTAAGTAGCTTGTTTTCTGATTCTAGTCTCCTTTTAATTCCACTTTTGATACCATACTGAGAATATAAAAGATCGGTTTCTTAAACACCATCCGACACTATTTAAGAGGCCTACGTGTATGTATGCTCTGAGTGTAATTAATAATTATATAAACTTTTAAGCTTCCAGTCACCTGTATGTATGGATAGTACATTAGATACTACTAACAGCAGCGCTTTTTTATCAAGTCTTTTAGGTTTTAATGCTCTAGGCCATTTTGATAGTTTTGTGCATTTTTTACTTTTTATTTTTTACAATTTCATTTGTCAGATCTTGCTTTGAATAGGAACAACAAAGTGTTTCATGTACAATGATTTTCAAAATTGATTGGGCAAAGATTTGGTTTTTTTAATAAGACTAGTTGTACTTAATACAGCTAATGTTCAGTTTCCAGAGTATTCTGTATAGCTACTGAAGTCTTTTCAGGTAACTGAAATAAAACTGGATTTGTGCACAGATTTCAGAAGTTTTCAGCCTTTTTCTCCTGATAACTGAAGTCATCACTCGACTAATTTCCACATTATTCATGAACATCGACATCTAATTAAAGATATATAAATCAGTAACGTTGTCTTCACTGAGGTAATCCTAGTCATTTAGTGTAACAAGTACATAAGGACAAAAGTAGATTATGTGTAGCAAGTCTCTTAGTCTCTTAAGTGACTGCTCATTACTTGAGCAGCAATTTAAGTTTTAACAGCATCCTTTTTAGATGAAGCACATATTTCTCTCTTATTGACAAGTCCAGAAAAAAATATTTACTTTCTGAGGACATGTTTTCTGGGAGGCTCTGTCAAATTTTCAAAACAATGCTTAAGCAGTGTAACAAATTTTAATGAACCTATGACTTTGGGCTGCAACAATTACCCTTTGAGAGACAGTGGGAAGGCAGGAGGTGCTTTGGAACAATTCGACGGGGGGGGGGGGGGGGGCAGGGAAGGAGAAGAAAAAGAGAAAGGAAAAGATAAAGCTGGACTAAAGACAAAAGAACAGGGAGAAGCATCAGCAGTAAAATGGAGAATGTCTGCACGAGGTGGACCTGGATGGTGTTACGAAGAGGGACCAAAGGAACACGTGGCCCAAACTGGAAGGGAAAGAAACATTAGGAGCAATGCCACTGCACACATACAGAAGCCTCTGTGTTTTTCCTGGGTTCTAGTATACCCCAAAGTTCAACATGTTTCTTTCTGATTCACTGTGAACCAATTCCTGAAAAATCTTGTCAAACCAGATGTTGGGTTTGAGCATCTTAATATGACAGGGCTCAAGTTGTGAGAGTATCACAAAACCACAGAGTGACTGAGGCTGGCAGGTGCCCCTGGAGATTGTCTAGTCCAACCCCCTGTTGCTCAGAGCAGGGTCACCTAGAGCAGGTTGCTCAGGACTGTGTCCAGTCGGGTTTTGAATATCTCCAAGGGTGAGATATTTGTCACAACCTCTCTGAGCAACTTGTTCCAGTGTTTGAAAACCTTACAGTAAAAAGTTTTTTCTTCTGTTTAAATGGAATTTTTTGTATTTCAGTTTGTGCTCATCGCCTCTTGTCTTCCTCCCCCTTCTCACAGGAAATTAGTGGTTTCACTTAACTAATTTAACACAGAGCATATTTATCATTCTTTTGCTTGCTAGCTAAAATTTAAAGGACAAACCCAACAGCTTCTTATAGAGCACAGGTTCAGTCAGGTCAGGGGCACTGGAAAGCTCAGAGAGACAGCCAAGAAGCACAGTAGCAATTAGCTGCATTGAGGCCCATTGCTATAAAGACTTTGCTAGTACTCCAGCTAGTCATACATGTGCCTAGCAAGTGAGGCAGAGGAAATATTAGCAGAAAGTATAGCAACCATCTACCCAAGTTGGCCCAAACACTGTTTAGCAATGGTAGACATGGTATTATACATTGCATAGAATAATACAGGAATTCCGGTGTTTCAGAATAAGGTACTTATCAGGTACTTAGGCCCACCATATCAGAAACATAAGGGGGTAGCATATCCAACATAAGGGACACTGATACAAGAAACCTCAAGAGAAATGATCAATTTGGTCCACAGTCCTTAGAACATATGCCACAGCTGCCGCCTTTGTTACTTCCTAAGCACTAGCCATGCATGGTGTGCTCTGTAAGGCACAAGTATGAAGCTAATACCTACCTAGAGCAATATTTAATCATTAAATATCAAGTGATATAATGAAAAATACTCACCTTTTCATTTACACAAATATGTTCACATAACCTCTACTGGCTTAAAACATAGAAACCAGTAACAGAAAAATAGCATTTGCAATTATTATGGCTGAACAGCCAATGTATTAAACCCTCCAACATATGAAAGTACACGAGCTTCAAAGCAAAGCTAACTGATCAAGTAGCAATATGCTGCAAGCTGATAATTAGTTTTTGTTGAGCTTTAAACAGGTGTTTAGTGTTTCAGATGCTTTCATCTGGGAAGGTGTTATTGAGCAGTGTCTTTATAAAATTGAAGACAGGTACTTTAACAATTACTTGGGTTACAACTCAGACCCTTGGGGAGGGAAGGACAGATAGGGAAGAGAGATGGGAAAACGCACGCACACACAGAGAAAGAAAGAAAGAAAGAAAGGGAGACATAGACAGAGAGAGAGGCAGAAAGACAGAAACTGAGAGAGAGCGAGAGTGAGACAGACAGACAGACAGAGAGATTGAGAGAGGCAGAGAAAGACAGATACAGACACCAAAGACAGAGCAACACAGAGAGAGACGGAGACCATGACAGAGAGACACATAGATGGAGGCAGACAGAGAGAGGGACAGAGAGACAGAGCAACAGAGAGAGGGGGGCAGAGAGAGGCGTTTTTGGGGATATGGAGAGACAGAGAGACCAAAACAGATGCAGAGAGGGACAGAGAGAAAGACACAGAGAGACACAGAGAGAGAGAGGGCAGACAGAGGGAGGGAGAGAGGGAGGGGGAGAGGTGCAGAGAGGCGCAGAAACGGGGGGAGAGAGAGAAACAGAGCCAGCGGGAGGGAGAGGAGGAGAGGGAGAGGGAGTGTGTGTAAGCTACTAAATCATTTGGGTTGGCCACAGCAGGAGGAACTCGGTCTAAATATGATTTGGTGAGTTATCTAAGGTTTCAGTGAAGTAGCTGCAACAGAAAGATGCATGGAGGTAAAGTAATGCCAGGAATGGGGTGAAGTGCAATATTTACATGACTTCAGCAAATTGCAGATTTTTTTTGTTTGTTCTGGAGAGTCATTATTAGAAACTTTGCAAGAAGAGAAGCTGCTTATTAAAGAGATGTTTTACGTGGGGAGGCTCTGTAGCAAAGAGTGCATATATAACAAAAAGGTTGACAACAGGGACTTCTTTGGGAACGGAAATTCCATCCCTGTCTGTGTAGCTGTTGCTTATGAGGACTATGTTCACAGAAGTTTGGGAAATGTTGTGGGGGGTTTCCATCTATGTGAAACAAGCAGGTGAGCAGCACTCGCTCTCTCTCTCTCTCTCTCCCCCTCTCTCCATGCCAAGGATTGGGAGCCCTGAAGCCTCTAACAGGAATTGTTGCTGGGAGGGGTTCCCTTGCTGGGTAAACACAGTTTGTTAATGTTCTTGTGCATAATTAAGTCTAGAGTTATTTTCTTTCCAACTTACTACAGAATCTCTGTGTAAACAAATCAGTTCCTTTTTTTTAATTTTTAAATTTAAGCCCGAATGACACTTATTTAAGTCTCTTGATATTTGAGTGCTATTCATCTTCCTGCGTTGACACACAGAGGAACACAGCAGAATTGAAATCCACTCTATGTGTAACTTTGTTTCCATTACAAAAGTCTCTTCCTAAACCGCAAAGATATAAGATGTGCTATTCACTAGCTAATCCTCATAGTTATGTTTCACACCCCTCTCATGCTTAAGAGAAACTTAGGTTGCAAGAATATAGCCCTTCCAAGGTTAAAAAGGTAACCTGCCTACAGTGACTGTTTGTGAAGACAAGTAGACCAATGTGAAACTCGGTACTTTTCAATTACGCTATATTCTGCTCCTTCCAGTTTAGCTCATGAAAGCCTTTGCTATCCTTGAATGCCAGAGAGTCTGTCTCAGGCACGGTCAGTAGCTTCAGCCTCTCTGGTTAGTAGAGGAAGCAAAACGACCACGGACTAATTGTGCAG